AAAAAAAAAAAAAAAAAAGACTGGAGGCCGTGATGGAATAGGAAGAACTCATTGCCTCAGTTGTTCCAAAGGAACTATATTGAATGATCTTCAGAACTCTTCCTTCACTTCTTTACCCGTATGCATAAGAAATGAGCAAGATGGACCCATTCATTTAAATGACAGGAAGATTATTTAAATGTTTAATTTTGTCCCATGCTTACTGCAAAAATAATTTTCAATTGCAGAATATTAGTGTAAAAATTATTTACTGGGTGGGTTTTTATTAGGTGGAAAGTTGGCGCCTTGAAGCCTTGGAAACTTGCTCTATCAACAACCAGAGGCTTGCTACAGGTAAGTATATTTTAGTTCTTTTCTTTGATAATTAAACTCCATGCAGAATCATATATAAATAATATTGCCAAAATCCTGATCAGAATGCAGACCAATCTAAAGTCAACCTTCCCAAGCCACTTTTATTTAAAATTGGATTTTTTTTCCTTCACTTAAAAAAATGTCTAACTTCAGTTTTCCAAACATTTTATTTACTGTCATCTATTTTTTGTGGTGCTGGGATGAGACTGGCTTTTTGCTGGTAAATTGCAGACTTTTATTTCCAATTAATCACAGAAAAAGCCAGAAGTGGCACTGTGGCTCAAGTGGTAGACTGCTATCCTTTTAGCCAAAAAATCTTATTAGAGACAGCTGGGTGCTGGTGGCTCACACCTGTAATACTAGCTACTCAGGAGGCTGAGATCTGAGGATCGAGGTTCAAAGCCAGCCCAGGCAGGAAAGTTCGTGAGACACTTATCTTCAATAAACCACCAGAAAACTGCAAGCGGTGCTGTGGCTCAAGTGGTAGAGCACTAGCCTTGAGCTGAAGATCTGAGGGACAGCATACAGAACCACAGTTCAAGCCCCATGAGCAACCAAAAACAAAAGACCCTTAGAGACAGCACCCAGGCACTGAGTGCAGCTCCAGGTCTGGAACACATACACTCAGGAAGCTGAGGCAGATTGTGAGCTGGAGGACAGCCTGGGCTAGATAGTAAGACCCTGTCTCAAAGCCAACAAGACCCAAGACAATAAATAAA